GATATTTGGCGTAGAGCGGTAACTCAACATGCAATCGTGAGATTAATACATGTACCGTGTAGAAGAGGGTGTTTGAAAATCACAATAGCACCGTGCAACTTTTTGTAAAAAATGCAAATGTGCCAATGAACCACCTGTTGATCATAACCATCATGGACCAATCAGGTCAACACGTAGGTAAGTAAATGTCATAATACTCTTTAGTGTTTGACAAACAACTGGTGTGAAAGCATTTTTTTTTCCAAGGAAAAGTGTTCTTTGAGCAAAGCAATGTTGTCCTGTTCTGACAAAAATGCTGCTATGGCGATTTCATTTTTGGAGGACATTGACTGCCCCCATCTCAAGGATAATGACAATTTTTCTTGAGCGGAATCCAATTAACTTTACATTCATTGTTAAAATTGTGCTTTTATTCCAGTTGCAGTGTCAGTTTCTTCCACAAGAGAGCAGTGAAAACATAGGACTCAGTTTGGTTTTACTCATCGTTGTCATCATCACCATCATCTTAAAAAAAAAAAAAAAAAAAAAATCCTCAACGCCGTATCTACATTCTAAAAGGGTTTGGAGTGAGGAAGATGTAATAATAATAAGTCAAGGAAAATAATTTTTTTTTTCCTGCATGTCTCATTCTACTGTACCATTCATTGACTCAGGTCCTTTGAGGATCTGCTGATAAAAAGGTTTGGAGTGAGGAAGATGTAAAAATAATAAGTCAAGGAAAATACGTTTTTTTTTCTGCATGTCTCTACTGTGCCATTCATTGACTCAGGTCCTTTGAGGATCTGCTGACGCCTTCACATCTGTCATCGCTTCTTTTTGTCAAATGCAGCTCAGTCAGTTTGTAGTGGCAGGCAAGGTGTATATCAGAGGTGGGCAATTCCAATCCTGAAGGGCCGCTGTCCTGCATGTTTTCCATCTCTCCCTGCTGCAACACACCTGATTCAAATGCAGGATAGCAGCCCTCCAGGACTAGAATTGCCCACCCCTGGTGTATATCAATCTCTGGCAGACATTTTGGGCGTTTACCCTTGTGATCATCTTCTATTTTCAGAGGTACTGAGATACAGCATGTCTCCTTCAGTTTCCTCTAGTGTTAAATGTCTAGGTCAGCAAGACCTTCGTCAACACTGTGAGACTCCCAAGTGAAACTATGTAGCTGTGTGTCGTGTGTGTGTGTGTGTGTGTGTGTGTGTGTGTGTGTGTGTGGTGTGTGTAGCAGACAAGTCAGCTGTGTTCTCCCCCACAACAGCGCATAATGGCGCAAATGCCCCCTTCTATCTGCTCTTGTCTAGGAAAAAAAAAAAAGAAGAAAACACCCATGCGCTGAACTCACCCTGAGCACAAAAATAGAACTCTGCATGTTATTGTAAGGGCGGCCCGGTAGTCCAGTGGTTAGCGCATCGACCTCACAGTGCAGAGGTAGCGGGTTCAATTCTAGCTCCGGCCTCCCTGTGTGGAGTTTGCATGTTCTCCCCGGGCCTGCGTGGGTTTTCTCCTGGTACTGGCAAGCTGACTGAACACACTGTAAATTGCCCCTCGGTGTGAGTATGAGCGTGGATGGTTGTACGTCTGTCTGTGCCCTGCGATTGGCTGGCAACCAGTTCAAGGTGTCCCCCGCCTACTGCCCGAAGACAGCTGGGATAGGCTCCAGCACCCCCCATGACCCTTGTGAGGATAAGTGGATCGGAAAATGGATGGCTGCATCTTTAACATTATGCACAGTTTATCAAAAACACATGAAATTGAACTAAAAAGTACCTTTACAATGTTCAAATAACACAAATATATAAAATAAAATTGTACCTTGATGCATGTTTGACAATAAACAGCTCAAAACGTGTTTTAATCAAAATCTTTTCCTCATATATATGGTAAAACTATTATTAAGATAATCTTTTCCAAAAATGTCCCTCTTTGGCCCCATTTTAGGGCTGTAATTCAGATTTGGATCATTATTTCAAAAATTGTTATGGTGCGACAAAACTTGTCAATCAAAGAGTGTTGAGACAGAAGACAAAATTGTCCGTCAGTCATTTTCTGGTGTGTGCAAACGCAGTCACGCACGCTCACGCACAAGCAGTGAAGGAATGTGTAATTGACAGTCCATCAATGAGCCATGTACATGTGGTGTACGTCTTTTATTGGTGCATTGTGTGCGAGCATGTTCTGTTGACTTACTATCCAAATTGTATCCAACTAAGTCGACAAGCAGACATCACCATACACACTCCATTTTAGCAAGTTCAGTGGTTCTGGAAAGCAAACAGATCACGCATAGCACACTTTAATTTGTATTTCAGTCAAGTAGAGCTCTGTGGTGAACCAACCATTGAAGTAAGCTGCATACTAGGACACTGACAGTATTGTCTCCCATCTGTTGAAGTCTGATGTAATTTGAGAGAGAACAACCCAAATAAATTATTATTCATTCTAGAAGGTCACAAATGAAACAAAATGGTAAATTTTATCTCATGAGCACATCAAAACAAATAAATAAATAAAATTGCTTGAATGTTCCATCCAGCCATCCCATCCTCGACTGGTCACATGCAACATTTTGAAATCTTCAGTCAATCATATCTATAGTGCGAGATTAAAATTGTGCATATATACTATAACAACCCCCTTCATGCAAGCATAGCATTGTCACCTTAAAATCACTAAGCTTTTTCAGATGGATTTTCTCCCCTTCAACTGTGCCTTTGTGCTCACTTTTTTCCTTTCATTCTTCTTTCCTGAATGTCCTCTGTTGTCTGAGTTTTTTTTTCCCCTCCCTCTCTTCACTCTCTTACTCCACAAACCTTTGTGTATCAATTTATGTCTTCTAATCTGGGCCACAATGCACTGTTGTTTGCCCTCACAAGCGAGGGCTGTGATTATGAAAGGGGGAGTTAAAAAGAGAGGAGCTTATGTAACAATGCTACATTAAAGTCTCTCATCTCAGGACATTAGCCCAAAACATAGACATCCCACCCCCATCACCTACACCTGACTCACTGTTGGACATGCAAGATCCACTTCCCCCCGGCACTGAACGCCCCCCCCCCACACACACACACACACACACATACATATTCTTCTTGTTGCAAAGGTTTTATTGTGAGATGCTATTTAAATTTGAGTTATTTTGTGGTATGTTCCATGTGTCTTTTCGGTTACTTTATCCTGCTCAGAATATTATTATCTTTTTATGGTCTTGGACCTATCTTTATATGTATACATTACGGTCTTTGACATGTTGACCTTCTTTGAGACCCGATGGCATTTATTTGCCATTATAAAAAAAAAAAAGCACACTTCAAGACCTACTTTTGTAGTCTCGATTTTAACTGAACGTGTGCATGTGTGTGTGTGTGTGTGCGTGTGTGTGTGTGAGAGAGAGAGAGAGAGAGAGAGAGAGAGAGAGAGAGAGAGAGAGAGAGAGAGAGAGAGAAATGTTGATGCGGCAGTGTTGATGAATACATTGTTTTCATGTGTTCCTTAAAGCGGTGTTTTTCAATCTTTTTCGAGCCAAGGCACATTTCTTTCATTGAAAAAAATCTCGCGGCACACCACTACCTGGAAACGTGAAAAAAGCTTATTTTAACAATTAAGTGTAACTGTATCTTGTTACTATAAGCGTTTTTTTAAACATTGAAAATTGACGCGATACACATTGAATAGGAATCAAATCAACATCAATCCAATATTTAATGGCAAGTAAAATATAGTCAATCAGAACTTTGACTTGCTCAGGGTCGTATTTTTTCTGTGTGACAGCCGGTTTTTCTTCTCCCGGTCGTTTGCGCTCTCCCGCAATATTGTACCAATCCCTTTTCCCATCTTGAGTCTTTGTATAATTCCAACATCATTCAAAGGACTTTTCTGCTGAATGTGTCGCTTGAGGTTGTCCAGCTTCCATTTTGTCCGTATTTTTCCACCGGAAAATTTGCTTACAGCTTAAGCTTTGCTGCATGTTTTGCAGAACAGATCTTTCTCACTCGAAAAAGAAAATATCTTACCCAGTTTCACTGCTTGTTCTTCGATTTGCACATAACTCCAACAGCCATTCCAACTGAAAAGAACCGCAGTTCATTTTTATTTTAGTTTGGGGAGTTGGCGTATCACGTTCACTGCCCAGTCGTTTCGCCATGATAAAGGATTAGCATTAGCGTCACTTATCGCCACTGCACTGCTGTTGTAGTACTGCCAATGCTGTGATTGGCTGCATAGCGTCACTGCATCGTATCATGTGATTGGCTAGACACCTGTCACTCACTGAATTACACCGCAAATTGATACAGAAAAAAAAAGTTATGTATCTAATTCATTTGCAGTGCGTTCACTGCGCTGGATAGGTTTTCTTGTGCAATGAGAGTGTGCGACCAGTGCGCAGTTGCGCAGCTTAGAGGGAACATTGGTGGCGTTGCATCTCCAGTAAACATAAATCAAAATGAAAGATACCTTACATTGTATTGCCTCGCATCAGAAACTTTGCTTGTCTCAAAGCATAAGGCAATTTCCTAGCTGCTGCTGCTCCCTACTGGTATGGAAGAGTACTACATGATTACTCTTCCAGGCGATCGACCGCACAGGCATACATATTGGATAATTTCCCGCAGCACACCTGACAATGCCGCGGCACAGGATTTGAAAAACACTACCTTAAAGGACTTTTATGTACAATTGCATGCAATTTTTTCAATAAATCAGCTAACCTACTGAGCATTATGAGTGTTTCAGTTCCAGATACCCATTAAGCTGTTTGCCTTAATCGCTTGTGCAAATATTTTTTTTCTTGGCCTCCTCTTGCTGCTTCCCTGCCTCGCTAAAGGTCACAACATCATCAGAATTACCGCAAATCCCCTCTATTGGAAAAAAATTAATAAATAAGTCAGACAACCTGTTACCGAGCATGCCAGCTTGTCGTCACTCCTGCAGCCAGCCAATCGTTTCAAGCGGGGGCGTGGCTTTTGCCCGCTGCATGCCTGCTCGCAGCTCCTCAGTTGTGTGTATCCTGAATGAAAGAGCAAGTGAAGCATTTCCCTGCGTGTTGTGCTGCGCTCGCCTCCCTGCTTGGGAAAGTGACGTGCAATCTGACTCGGGGCTCTGCATAGTTGGAGTCACTGTGCGCCACACCGAGAGTGCCTTCGGGGAGGTCTGCACTGTTTTCCCCACCGAGGAGCTCAGTCATGCGGGAGTTGATGAAGAGAGCAGAGCAAGACAGGAGGAGGCAATTTTAAACCCCTCTGAATCTTTCATAAGGGAGCTCTCCAGCATCAAACTGCGTGGATGGACTGCGAGAAAGAGTTGGTCCTGGGATGCGCTTTTAGCAGGAGCAAAGAGTGACACAGAAACACAGCCAGAACCAACTTATGAGTCATCTCGACCAGGAGTGCAAGAAGCCCCGAATTCTTGTTTTCTCCAAGGAGCTGGATGTAATCCCGCCGTGTGTAAACACCTCTTGAGATCCTTAGATGAAAGGGCGACCAGCAGAAAAGCACAGTGCAGCAGAGAATGGGAGTGGACATGACTGCTGTCTGGCTCATCCCTAACCCCTCTTAATAACAGCGCAGAGGCAAAGCAACTCCAAACAACGCAGAAGGTGTGTTGGCCATTTCTGGTTTACGACTTACCTCGTTGTATCAAATCAAGAGGGAGACTTTCGATGAGCAGCTGACTTTGAACGGAAATTGGCTGAATTTGAAAGTCATCCAGCCCACAGGGATGTCCTCAAACGAGCTGAGTGTTGAGATGGACTCCTGCATTCGGACATTCAAGGAGCACATGCATCTGGAACTGGAGCCCCCCAAGGCCCCTGGTGTGGTGGGAGGGAAAAGGGGCGCCACATCCCCTAAACTTTCCCCACGGAGCTCCCCGCGGCTCTTCCGCAAGCTGGTGGTCAACAAGAGCATCAGACAGAGGCGACGCTTTACAGTAGCTCACACCTGGTAAGGCTGATGGGAGCTTGGAGGGGGAGATGCACGGGAAAGGTTGGGACGGAGCGAATGCCGTATTGGGAGTAGTGGACAAAACGTGCTGTGTGGGAAGGATGGGACGTGAATATAGTGAAGGATGATAGACGGGAAGACAAAATGACAGGGAAATAGGATATAATTGAGAAAGATAGCCCGCAGTGATTGTATGGAGAAACAAAGATAAGAGGGTCGAAAAACAAACAAAAGGGAGTCACAGCGGGAGACAAATGGAGCAAATGTAATTCCACTGACTGAAGAAGTCAAGACAAATGCAGTAAAGAATGCTTCATAAAAGACCTACATTCCATTTCCAATACATTTCTTGTCAAAAGGGAGGCCAAACTATATAAAAAAAAAAAGACAAATGACAGTTGATTTGCCACTGGGCTAAGAAATTATGGAATCTAATAAAAATCACATAGTGGCTTCCCTGTCCCCTATTTGGATCTTCATTTGCGCTTTACCTCGGTACATTTTTTCCTCATGTGCAGGAATCAGTTTTGGGTGATTGCATTTTTTTTTGTCATCTGGTGCATTTTAGGTCACGAGATACAGATGGCAAACTCACATCATACCTTTGAAACTGTCCCCTCATAACATTGATGATGTGCAGAACCCATGATTTGTCTCAGCATCGACTCCTTCCATCCCCACATCTTGACTTTATGAATGAATCGCTTTGCGGTTTTCTATTTTGGGCATTTTCACCCCCCCCATGCTCTCCCCCCATGGTTTTTTTCTGCAGTTAGCTGCCACCAGTGAATGTGAAGGGAGTTTTTTGCTGTGTTATGCAATGTATGGATTAGTGGCATAGGATGGTGTGTGTGTGTGTGTGTGTGTGTGTGTGTGTGTGTGTGTGTGTGTGTGTGTGTGTGTGTGAGAGAGAGAGAGAGAGAGAGAGAGAGAGAGAGAGAGAGCTTCAAGGTGACTCTTGACTCTTAGTATAAAAAACAAATTCACATCCCCTTTGTGTTCTTAACATTGTTGTACGGTTTGAATGGGATTTATAAAGGTGAAGACCATCTACCAAAGCTGAATTCAGGATATGATGAAGTAGACTTGTCACTGTGAGGGGAGGGAGGTGGTGTGTTTCTGTGTGTGTCGAAAGGAAATGAGTTAAGATATGAATCTGTTTGTGCTTGTATCTCCAGGCTGTACTGTTTGTATGATGGAAACATGATAACATCCTCTGTGTGTGTGTGTGTATGTGTGTGTTTCTTTGTGGTAATAGCATACTATAATTGAGTAATGCAAGCCTAATAGGTGTATCCAGATGCATGTACATGTGTGTGTGCAAATGTGAATATTGGTATAACACTGTTAGGTCTTTGATATCTTCTTGTTTCTGTGTGGCTCTCCTCTTCGTTTACCAGCTCCCGGGGACTCGTATCGCTTTATCTCTTCTTGTATAGCCTATTTCTGAGCAAAGCAGGATCTGCGGGGGGTTGGGTCGGTACAATGGCGACAGAGATATGAGAGAAAAAACATGAGAAAAATATTTTAAATCATTGTCACCGGTGTCCTCCATATTTCTTCGTAAGTCCACTGTACATGAGCTTAACTCTGGGATGGAACAACACCCACAACACTTTGACTGGTCCCGTTCAGCCAGTTTAGTTAACCGTCATTCTTAAGATAAATTCCCCTCAGGGCATCTTTCTGGACCTGAAAAGAACGGCAGAAAAATAAAAAGTACTGACAACAATTGAATAGACAATATGTACAATTCCAGATGATAAACAGGAATATGTACTCGCACGCACATTGCACCCTTGAGGAAATTCTGAATTATTAAAGATACCAACATCCAACCCTCGTTTTAAAAAAAGTGCCTTAAAATATAATTCTTCCTCCGATGACAACTAGTAGACTCATTGTCAGTATTTTAGAATCTATTAGTGCTCGTGGCTTGTTCTCACATCATTCCAACAGGGAGCACGAAACAGTGGCTCCAATTTATCATTTAACTTGCACACTCAGGACTGGACGATTGTGTAAGTATAGTCACATTTTTTTGTACTACACATCGTGTGATGAGACTGTATAGGATTTGACTCAGGTCCTCCACATTTTTATTTTATTTTTTTTATCAGCACTTTCTGATCTTCCCAAGCTATTTTTTAAGTCAAAGGTCAAGGTCATATAAGATTTGAGTCAGGTCCTCCACATTTTTATTTGATTTTTTTATCAGCACTTTCTGATCTTCCCAAGCTATTTTTTAAGTCAAAGGTCAAGGTCATCAGTGGTGTCACACATTTTTAGCTTCAGTCATATCAATATTGTGGCTGCCCTCAGAGATACAGTTACAGTAGAAGTGTTAAGCCAGGGGTCGGCAACCCAAAATATTGAAAGCCATATTGGACCAAAAAAAAAAAAAAAAAATATGTCTGGAGCCACAAAAAATTAAAAGCCTGATCATGAACTCAACACATGCTGTATGTATCTATATTAGCGATATTAGCCGACTATCAACATGACTAAGTTGGCTACAAATACACAAGCATTCATGATTCAATGATTTTTTTCCCCTACAGTTCATCCTGTAGAGTAGGGGTGCCCAAACATTTTTGACGGAAGAGCTACTTTTTGATCAACCAACCTCCTGCGATCGACCCGCCTGATTTTTTTTTTCTCCCTACAGTTCATCCTGGAGAGCAGGGGTGCCCAAATATTTTTGACGGAAGATCTACTTTTTGATCGACCAACCTTCCGCGATCGACCCGTTACCGCACACGCGCGCATACGGTAGCTCACGTATACCATTAAAAAATGCTTTTCTCGGCCACCCAGATTCCCATTCTTTGCAAGTACCCTCGAATTGTACAAGAAAGTCTGTTTTGTTTTTGGTTTTTGTTTTCTTGTTACACCAAACCCCCTGACTGACATCCCACCCTGCAAATAGAAATGTGTGTCGCAGGCCAGGACGCAAATCCTCGTTGACGAAATCTTGAAATTTAATATTTATTCGACACAGTTTTACAGCATTGGAAAACGTTAATGTTTGTGTCATGTTTGTGTCATGTTTGTCCTCTTATAGAAACCATACCAGGGAGCCAAAAATGTATTTCCCTCCCCGATCTTTTTCCATTTTCAAACATTTTTGAAAAAGCTCCAGGGAGCCACTGGGGGGGCGCGAAAGAGCTGTATGCGCCTCATGAGCCGCGGGTTGCCGACCTCTGTGTTAAGCGGATGTAAATGATCTGCCTACCATTTAAAAAGCCATTTTTTTGTAAAAAAAACAAAAAAAAAAAAAAACAAACCCAAACAGAGACCAAGATAAATCATTTCAAAACATTTTCCATTATTAATGTGACCTGACCTGTGACCTGTATATTGGAACATAATATCTTCCAATCACATGTGGGGAAATATTTTATGGTCCGATGAAACCAAGTTTGAACTTTTGCCCCTTTTAACACAACACTGCTCATCACCAACCGAACATCAAACTGACAGTCATGCATTTTGATGGCAGCATCAAAAGAAAATACTTTGAAAGTTGAAGAAAATGAATAAATCCAGACATGTATGGAAATGATAGTTGGTGTAAAATCACAGTCAGCAGCTAATTTGAAAACTGTGTGGGCATGCAGTCTTGTTTCTCTGTGTTGTGATCCCCTTTATTCCTACACCCCATGAGCCTTTGTGTGAATTATGTGCGCAACTTGCACCAAAATCGGTGTTTTGTTTACATAGAAACTGTTTGCGTAAGTCCAATTTCTATTAAACTTAAAACAATGTGGGCCAGTTATTGCATCTTAGAAGAGAAAACATGTCAATCAAGCTTCATGCTAATGTAGCGGTGCAGGAGGATAACATAAAGTCACGTAAAGTCACGTTTAAGTACTTTCCGAACGCTCTCACTTCAGACGTGAGGCAATGCGCATTCTCAAAAGCTCAGAGGCGTATCGGTACACTACGCATTATTTAAGTTGGTTGTGTTAAAAGAGATTGGACAAATGATTTCAGAGGTTGACTAATACTAAAGTGTCCATACCTGATGTGTTTGTGAATCTTCTATGCTGGTTTGGCGCAATGAAAGCAGATAAGCACAAAGTTCAATGCGTGTGTTGCGCAGTGCTCTTTACCCACAAAATGAAAAGGAGCTCTGGAAGGTTGAGGTAGACTTTTCAAACAGACTCTCAGACTAATTCTTCTGCGATCCTTTTCCCCACGTAGGGACTGGAAATTGCACCAATTGCCACAGCACTCTCCTCTTGTCCAGGGTTCCAGTTCAAAACGTTGCTCTTGTGGTCACAGATTCAACTCCTTCTGCTTGCTAGTACAACCGCCAACAGCGCAACAAGTACCCACGCCGTGCACAACTTGCACAATACCATTTGCTAAACAGATTAAAGTAATTGCTTATCCAAGATTGTGAAGTAATGGCTTGTTACCAGTCAAATATGATCAAACGGTCTACGTGTAACTTTTTGTGAACAGTAGAAGAGGACCAAACTACTACCAAGAACTGCCAAGAATTTGTGACAAAATTAGTGTGTTGTTCAAAAATACGATCATCTGTCAAAGATGAGAAACATCACTTGACGCTGAGACTCGGCTTGCGCTACACAAACTGAACAATGGATGACAAACACGGTCTTCATCAAATCACAAAGTGTAAGAGAGCACTGTGATATATCGGCTGTGAAAATTGGACTATGTGCATTTGCTGGTCTTTTGTCGTATGTTTATGATAGTATCACATTGTTGTTGTTCTTGTTTTTTTTTTTTTAAATCATACGTCATGTAAAATGACCTTGCCTGTCTTTTTTTGCCATACTGTTAATAGCATACAGTTCAGAATTTTTATTTTTGATTTTATGTATTTATTTATTTCTTGCAAATGACATTTTGTCATGAGAATTCAATTCCATGATAAAATGCTAAACTATCGGTTTCTTACACCCCTTTCCCACTGAAATTAATGGGTAGTAGTGATCCGTGGCGACACACAACCAATTAGCATATTG